CATTTTATAAATTTAGTAAAATAACCATGGAGAGAACGACATCGCAGAAGCAGAAGGAGCATCTTTTGTACGAAGGATTCAGGCCAAAATTCATATATAAGGCGCACCGGACTATAGGCCGCAATGGCGATTTTTTTTGCAAATATAAGGATTTTAAGTTCGCCTTATGGTCCGAAAAATACGGTAAATGCCTTAGTAATAGACTCCAAAACTCGTCCACTTTACACACTAAGTTCTGTTTCCTTTGTTTTCACTAGTAAAGCAGTTTACCAGTATATGTTGCCATGCTTTTATTAATCTAATGCTTATGATTTAGGAAAACTGGTAATCTGCACATGTTCGATTTTTATAAGTGCCCGTCGTACAGTTGGCAGTATCAGATATGCAATCCAAAATTAATTTTTGAGGCAATCTAGGTGGTAGGTTTAAATGAAAGTTTATAAAACGTTTTCTGATTCCGTGGTTAGCAGCAGGAAAGGCAAGGAGGGCAGCAAGAACGATCGGAATTTGACCGATTAGTGTAACTGACTGATGATGGCGATTTTTTCCGCTCATTTCGAAAATTTGAAAATTTTTCTTATTGAACACAGCTCTTCTTTGTTTTCTTTTATGCTAATAACAACGAAATCAGTAGCAGTATCTGTATCCATTTATTTACGATATGGCATTGTTATGTTTCAGAAACTCTTGATTGACTTCTTATTATTACAGATGACAGATATTTTTGTTTTGTTATTCAAAGGGCATAAGAAGGATTCAAGGATGTGACGACTACTATTAAATTCAGAGCAAGACAGTCAGAGTGAGCCTTGGTGTAGCTCCCACATTTAAATGCGAAGCAGTTAATGCAGCCAAAGGTTTGGAGGAGTCGGGAAATGGATTTACTCCTGTTTGTGAATTTCAAGTGGGAGTAAATCTGAGACATGGACACGGATATGTAGCATGTGACATCATCAGCAATGAGCTGATGCAACAGGATATTTAAAATTTTTAATGCACAGAAGTGCAAAAACGAATGTCTGCATTCATCGTTATTTCTTGATCATTCAAATTGCTGTCGGTTAACGCTGCTGCAGTTTTTGCCACAGTTTTAGTTTTTCAACAGTTGCACTTTAAGGTTACTTTACATGAAGTTCGCGGGATTGTATGATTGCGCACGATGCTATGCTTTGCCACAGCCGAACTCTTTCACGAGCTGCGTTGAATGCAGACCATGTTTTCGAATACTATTTTCAAACTTATTTCTGATATTCCTAGTGTAGCAGTTCACACCTAAAATATTGATGGAACACAGTTCTTCATATCTTCCATTTTCCTGTAATTTCTTTATGTACAAATAATCAAAAACTTTTTCCGGAATTTGCATGGAATCTCTACACTATATCTGCTCATGAGAGATGTGATACATATAATTTATTTACAAAATTCTTCATAGCAAAGTAACCACGTAAAACGACACTTTTAAACTCATCCTTCTTATGTTTCCTTACTAACGTTACGTCTATAAAGTCTTCAATAATAATTAACTTAGCATTTACTAATGCTCTGCTTGAGGATATTTTCTTCTTTTCTTAACGCAAACCTATATACAGTATTCGACAACAAGAAAAGTTACAACTAAATTGCTATAGAAACCATTAGTGGATGCTTCACTCGAAAATGACGCGCTAGCGGACAGACTGAATCTAATATCGTGAATAATCTGTCGCCGAGAAGACGAATTTTCCATGCGTTGCCTAGCGTAACTCGGAGGTTGGCGGGCTGCTAAATTCCCCTAAGGTGGATGGGTGATTTCCTGTGGTATTCGTTTCGCGAACGAGCCACAGCTATCAAAGTCTCATGATGATCTTAGTTATGAGAACGTACTGAAATTCTCCAGATTTGACGACTGTCCTGATATATTGCCATAACGGCACAAATTCATTTCTCGCTAATTTTCCTAAGATGGGCTGGAAACATGAAGTGAGGTGTTGCAAGATGCCGTATTTCCTGAATCTCCACAGCAACCTGAAAGTGACTATAAACAGACGCAAACGACCATAACAGATGTTGTCTTTCTAATGCCATGAAGCATTGGAGCAGACCAGTCTGGCATGTTGTTAGCGATCTCACTGACAAATATCTCATTATTTTTCAAGATTGTTTGCATCTGGATCACTGAGTTCTTATTCTAGTGAGATTGAAGATGTCGTAGTTCTATATGCTTCGTGAAATAAGCTCCATTTAATGCATCTGCGCCTGTCTTATTTTATTTTAAATTTAATTTACTAATAAGCTGTACCGGTCCAAGATCGCTTCTGTACGATGTGAATAATACAGCTGAGGAGAATAAATTGACCTTCACCTAACACTCTGATCATTGGTCAGCAGAGTAAGGCGGTATGGGACCATGGAACCGTACAATTTGTTTACTCTCAGAATGATAAACAGAAAATGCGC